TAATTAAATAGTGTTTTTTGTCATTAAATAACAAATATTCTTTATATCGACCACGTCTGGAATTTCAAAAGGTCGTAATGTCCCTGACACTACATATTTAAATTTCTTTTTATATTGATATATTGTGTTAATATATAGCCTATAGATGATTTCATTCTTGGTTATTAATTAAAACATGATTTTCAAGTATGAAAACAAGTTTAATACTCCGTAAAATCAAAAGAAAAATATTGACAGATATAAATAAATTTGTTTGTTGAATCATTATAATGTACAATAACAAAATACAGTAAAAATTATTTTATAGATTACTTTTTCTAAAATTCTTAACTTTAGAATAAATTAGATCATTGTTAAATAATAGTATGGTGGGTGTCAGGACATTTGACAGTGGGTCAAATGCCATTGCATTGACCTATTGCCATTTTACCTACTTTTTCAGTCTATAAAATTTAACCTAGAAAACAAATTATTGTATAATACTTAGGAATAAAATATTCTACTAAACGGAAATTCATATTAATAGAAGTCTATCTAAAATCTTACCATAAAATTAACGAAAATTAAAGAAAAAATTATTTTACTACTACAGTAAAGTCCCGGAAACTTGACTTTCGATACTAGAAAATTCCTTAAAGCTCGTCACTTCGTTGAAAAAAAAAAAACATAAAAATGTAATCTAATTTAAACCGCTATAACTTTAACACTAGGATCAAATAAATATCTTTCTTCACTGGCGACACTTGATAATAACATCAATTCCACGTGTTAACAAAGAATATAATCCTTTTCCCAAAATGCCACTACAAAACGCCACGAAGCGAGCCAGTCGAAACTATCCACTAAATACTCATTATTTTTACTTTTCCGGTTCTGTTACATATAACAGAGGAAAAGTATGGGAATCGGTCAAAAAACGATCCTCAAGATTTTTACATTTTTGGATTTAGGGGACCTTGAAACGTCGAGAAATGCAAAAAGATTTGGAGGATTTTCTGTATGTATTAATATAAATGGTGTGTGTAGGGGGCACGATTTTGTTCATTCTCTTTGAAGCTTATAACACCTATGCTGCTTTGCCGAAAATTTCTGAAATATTGCAAGGAGATTTGTGTATTAGAAAGATTGATGCTATTAAATTTTGGCGGTTAAAAGTCGACGCGGTGTGGAGATAAAGGAAAGTCACGTATCCTATCTCGAGAGGGATCAGACTTAATCAAGGTTTTACTCGTTATTAGCATTTATAGTTTGTTTTATATAATAAAAAACACTCATCTGTACCCTCAAAATTAATATTTTTATCATTTTATAATAATAAGAATACATAAAGTTTTTTAAATGAAATATCATAACAGATGGCGCCACACGTAGTTTTAAATGTTGCCAAGAAAGTTATATAACTCATTACTGGATTTTTTGGAAAAAAAATAAATTGAAATATTAATTTTATAAATAGTTTGAAAACATCTTCATTTTTAGAAAATATATTAAAGTTTAGAAAAGAAAATACACTTGGTTTTTTTCGTTCCCTCTAACTACCAGTCTTATGTGATTTAATCCACTTAGCCTTTTTTACGTAGGAAAAATGGCAATAAAATTATGCAGAAGATCATCGGTCATTTGGTTCATGAAAATACATCACACATGATAGATTGGCCAAGTTTACAAAGGAATGAAAAGATTCATCCGAAAACTCTGCATTAAATGTCTATTATTTCATGTAATAGTATAGGAAATTTTATTTAAAAAACTAACATAAAAATCTGTATAAAAATGAATTTTGAATTAAATTGAATATATTATCAAGTATAACTTATCCATCACAATTTGATTTGCCTTACGTACTACTGTATTGCTTTAGGCCGACTATTGTTTTATAGTTGACAATTGAATAAAGTTTAAAACGCTTTCTCTTAATTGTTATCAGTGATAATAAACTTAATGATGATAAACCTTTTTGAGTCTGCATCCATACAGTAAGCATACTTGTCTTTAAAAATACCGAAGTTTTAGAATTCGAATAATGATATTTTTAAACAAGAGAAACTAATATGCTTTAACTAGAATAAACGTAAAGAAGCTAACTGAAAAGATGATGATGGAGTGATAAACCGAAAGGATGATAGAAAAACACAAGTGATATACTGAAATCGCATGATACATTACATGCCTGATGATTTTCCCTGAATTGCCACTTTAGAGGCACGCGTGCCTTAAGTTCTCCACTCCAGTCTTATTATATTACAGAAGTTCGAACATAAGTTAAAAATCAAATTATTCATCACAAATACATTTACTTATCATTAGATTTAACAGGTGCATGATAAAAGTTTCTTGACTACAGCAATCTTAATATCGAATATTTGAATAACTTGGTTAAATATTCTATATAAACTTTGAATTTTCAGTTAAAATAAATATTTAATCAACATATAAATTTAAAAAATTGATTTCGTGTCCTTTATATTGTTTAAATTTATTACATAGTAATAATACTACAATAATTATAAGCCTATTGTAGTCAATATGAAATTTATAATATATTAATTTTAAAAAATTTATTTAAAGTACTATAGTTGTGTCCATTTAAGTTTATTTTATTTTAAAAAATTTTCAAAGAATTTCTTAAACGAACTGGATTGGATTGGATTGATGGGAGAAGGCAACGCAACACATAAGCAATTTGCCCAAGGAGTACCTCCAGGATCCTATCACATAAAACTCTTGTAGTTGTTACAAGCTATACGTGTTACAAAATACAAGAAAAATTATTTGAATAAGAAGTTTTGTAGCAAATTACAAGTTACTAGTCGTAAGCAATTATTTTGATTGCGTAAAGTTACTTATAATCAGTAACAATGCTACAAGTACTTGCGACAAGCAATTAGGGTTTCTCAAACGGGATCCCGAGATCCCTGTTGTTTGTTTAACCTGGGAAATCCCGCAAATTTCTTAAAAGTTCACTTTTTTCTTATTTTGTGTTAAGATTGTGTTAAGATTTGATGTTAAGATTTGATGTTAAGATTTGAGGAAATTTTGCAAATAGAAAGTATAATTAAACTGACAGAATACATTTGTATTTATTAATTTTAAACCTACTTATTAGATTTTTAAAATTTTTGCTTGTTATGGCATGTCACAAAGGTCAATAATCAATACGTAGCTTATTTGTGGCAGGACTCTGAAAATTCTTTACTTGTCGGAACCTGTAATATCGGAAATAATTGTGCTTATGCTGTCTTAATTTTTAACCATTCCCAATAGCTTCGATAACTGCGTAACGCCAGGTTGTGCAAATTGGGCAAGGATACAAACGAGTACGAAGTCTGCAAGTATGAAGTTTTTCTTCATAAACTTGATTATTAAAGACAAACGAACTGTCGAATTATCGGACTATAAGCTTGATGTTTCTATTAAAGCAGCCGAGATAGAAAAATCAAGAATAATAGAGAGCATAAGAAGTATACAATCTAGAAAACGAACTAGAAATCTTCCAGGCTACAAGTAAAAAAACACATAACATCTTTCTTCTCTTAAATGCATTAAACACGATTCCACTCACATCAATTAAATCGGAAAGGGCATTCTCGGTAGCAGGACTTTTCATTACTAAAATAAGAATTAGATTTAGTGATCGGAGTATTGACCACCTTTGCTTTTTAAAATCTTATAAAAAATTACAATAATATATATATTTTTTTGCTGTTGTATGCAGTTTCCAGCAAAATTTTTTTTCTATTTGTGAAAATTTCTACGTAATTTAAAGATAATTTTTAATATAAATCTTGCACAGCATTATTAATATGATTTTGAAGGTTGCAGAACGTATTAAATTACTTTAAAAAATTATATCATTTGCTTTAGAGATATTTTGTATATCTTAAAAATAATTAATTTTATCCCAGGATTTCCCGGGATCCCGGGAAACAGTTCACTTTTTTCCCGAAATCCCAGGACAAGCAAAAGACCGGGAAATGAGAAACTCTACAAGCAATAATTAATACAAATTTTGTAGATTGTAGTTAATAGCTTGTAACTCCTAATTTTGAAGTAACAGGGCCCAGCAAGGACTTTCCGAGGGAAACCGATTTTAAGAAGACCAACCACCAATGTTCAATAGTAATTTTATCCACTCGGCAGCTGGTAAATAAGCTAGAGGACATAAACAATTTTTTTACGCCCCATATGTCCCATGAATTTTGTACGTAAACTGTTTTGAAAATTCAAAAAAAATCCTTTGTATAAGCTAATTTATTTTCCCCTTCGGCTTCTCATGTATATAACACGGGATTATGTCAAATTTGACATTCCGGGTTTCTTCAAATCTCCACGTTTTGAGACGTCCTGAACATAAAAAGTCAAAAATTCGGAAAAATTCGTGAATGTGTGTTTGTGTGTTGGTATCTATTTCGTTTGATATTTGTGTAGACTCGTAGAGTAATGATTAAGAAATGAAATTTAACATGGTAGCTTGTGTATAAGGGGCGTTGATATTATTCGATTTTGGTGGTTAAAGGTAGAGAGGTTGGGGAGACAGAGGGGGTCTTGTGTCATATCCCGAGCAGTTGCACGTTATATCTTCATGGGGCCTAAATGAATGTGAATTAGAAAACCCCATGTACAGCGTTAACTTCCGACATTTTTTTCTGGGAGAAATTTTTGGGGAAAATATTTTGTTATAAAAGATTGTTTTGGAGCCCTGCTGGTGGGTATCTCAGATAATTGTCCATTTTGCCCATAGGATAACGTGCCATAGATCTCGAATAGAGATTCACTCGTTATTAGCATTTGCATATCTTTTATATAAGCCTCTACCTTCAAAATTAAGCTTTATGACATTTTATAATAATTAATAATATAAAAGTTATTTTAAACAAAGTCTCTTAACAGATGGCGCCACAGACAATTGAAATTTTGTAAGTTGTCAATATTTTCACAGAGTTGCGCAACTCGTTGTTGGATTTTTTATCAAATAGGAAAATAATTATAAGAAAACTTACCCATGTATGCAGTGAAAACTAGAAAAATTCCGAAAATTCCGCTCTCTGGTAATTTCCCTCCGGTTTCACTTCAAAAAATAGAAGACATTGATTCATTTTCTATTTTAAACTGTTAATTTATCTAAAAACTAAAACATATTTTTAAATTATCTTTACGCAAAATAATTTACATTAAGGTTTTATAAATTTAATTAATTAATTAATTAATTAATGAANATTATTACAACGTAATGATAATCTATCTTAAAAGCAAAATGTAATTTTTAAACAACTATCTTTAGCGAAGTAATTTATATCAAGATTTTTATAAATATAATAAATGATCCGAATACAGTCGAACCTCCCATAACGACCACCTCGAAATAGCGAACAGTTTTTTTTAGAAATATTTGTTTTTTACATGTATACAAAATAACCTGCAAAAAAGGTCAATATCTATGTTCCCATCAGTGACCATTGTTCAGAATTTAACTAAATTTCATTTACAAAAATTAATTTTACATATAATATATACAAATTTAAAATCAAAATTTTCTGAAAGTTTAAAAAAATAAATTTTCTTAATTTAATTTAATTATATAAAATTTCTTTACGATTAATAGTAATTTATTATAAACCTCGCTTATTATCATTGATTAGAGAAATTTTAAGCATAATTAATTCCAATCTTTAAAAATATTACATTGAAATAATAATAATAATAATAAATACCTGATGAAGGGGACATAAGCACTCACATGACCTTCTGAAAGCGCCATTATGAAACAAATAATCATACCGCAAGAAATCCAAACTCCCATAACGAGAGGTAACAAATAGAGCTTCTTTAATATATGGGGTTCCATTTACAGCGATTTGATTTCTTACAATTTCAATTTTAAAATGGCTCTAACTCGAGATAAATACAAAATCAAATCAAGGTTCTCTTGATTTTACATATAAAGATAATATTTTTGATAAAATAATCATAAGGCAATTAACAAACTCACTCACTCTCACAGATTCTAATTTACGTTGTTGATTCTAACCTCACCAGCATCATTTTAAAAAAGCAACTTTACAAGTACTCGTTTACATCATTTAGACATTATTTTATTAATATAAACTTTAAAACCACTGACGCTCCTTATCATTTTTCAGTTTAAAGTCAAACTGATATGACGTTTTTTACCACGTGCTCATAGTAATTTATTTGTTAGCGTCGGATATAGGCGTAATTATTACAAGTAGAACAATAAGATGGTTAAAAATTGTTTTTGTTATGTATGTAAAATATTTAAATAAAGAATTTATAAAATTATATTTTAAAAATTTAAAGGATAAAAAATTCTTATTCATATCTGCTATTCTTTAATTCCTAGTTCACATTGATAAAGTTTATCACACAATAATAAGGTAATATATTGCAAAGTATTGCAAAATTTATGAATAATAATATGCATAAATTTTGCAACACTTTCTCTGGATCTAATCACACAAGGAGGACGATTTACTGTATTAGAAGTATTTTATTGTCCACATATCGGCCAAAAATGCATTTTGGGCGATGCCCCTCATTAATTTCACTTAGTTTTACGCAAGATACATACATATACATGATTAATTTACATAAAATTCAATATATAATATATATCGAAAATATAAAATTCACGTACAACTTATGCAGACACAAAAATGATTTAGAAATCATTTACAATGCTACTATGATGTTTTACAAATAAAGAGATCTAGAATTCAAAACGTTAAAAATAATTAACATTTCAAATTAAAATTTATAATAAATAAGATATTACCTCTTAGAACAAATATAAACTTGATCATTGGACTCAAATGCCATAAAAGAAGAGGGCTAAAATAAATTAAATATATTTATAATATAAATAAAATAAAATAAATTAAACCAAATGTGTTAAATTATAAATGTACCTGTTCGAAAATTGAATTATTCCAACAACACTGAAGTATTGCGACGTTAATTCGCGAGTATTGTAAACTTTAAATAAGAAATTAAAATTAATTAAGACAAAATTAAAAATAACTTATAAAAATAAATTGATAAAACTGGTAAAAACAAAATTGAAGATAAAAAATATACCTATTAAAATGAAACCATTCAACCTCACTTTAACCATACTACTAAGCGTAAGGTTAGGGAAGTGTAATTGCCTATGAATAAATGCCTTTAATTGTAAAACATCATGGTAAAATTGTAAATGATTTCTAAATCCTTGTTGTGTCTGCATAAGTTGTAAGTGAATTATATATTTTTGTTATATATTATGTATTGTAAGTCATGTAAATTAATTATGTATTGTAAGTCATGTAAATTAATCATGTATAGTTTATGTATCTTGCGTAAAACTAGGTCAAACTGATGAGGGGCATCGCCCAAAATGCATTTTTGGCCGAAATGTGGACAATAAAATGCTTCTAATACAGTAAATCGTCCTTCTTGTGTGATTAGATCCAGAGAAAATATTGCAAAATTTATCTAATATAGCATAGGACTTATTGTAATAAAATTTATCATATTCTTGTTAATCTTGATAAGTTTCTCAATAGTCGCAGTATCTAATAAAATGGTTTTAATATAGATAGCCATGTTAGTCTAGTCATTAGTAATTGAAGCGAACCCGCGAGAACTACAGTACCAGTGTTCAATCCATTCTGCCACTGATCGGGATTTTGTTCAAAAGGAATAACGAATTATAATTATTTCATCAACAAAAATTACTAATAACCTTGGATCTTCACTAATTATCAAGTTATTTTTACTATTAGTACAATAAAAACTTCTAGTTGGACCGAAGCCAATGCATTTGAGGTAAGTTAACAATAGTAAATGGCTACACGAAGTCATTAATCAGTCAAATGCCAGCTTTGAACAAAACAGCATAGTTGATTCTTGATTATCTTGAACAGATCACTAAAACAATCTAGATTAATAGAATGCTTGTCTGTATGTTAATCTGTATAAAACGATGAATAGTTCATAATTATTACAACATATCACCAACAAGTACAATCTAACGACACAAACTTACCTTATATTTAACTTATTTTAGACGTATATGATAAAACGTTTCATGAATGTTTCTTTGCTTAAAATTTTCTTATCGTTTTGCTTGTAAAGTTTTATTTTTATTTTTATTTTTTTTTAAATCTCAGTAATATAATCTAGTATAGTCTAATAATGCAATGGACACCAAACTTTTTCCACAGCAAGCTAGATAACTGAGAAAATGACGAGTGCGGGCCGCATAATCATTTTGTTCAATACAGTACACCAAATATACAAAAAATAAAGACAACCAACATATTTATTTACTAATACACAAACACGAACGCTGCAGCAAGCTTGTAATCCCTTTTCTTAGAAACTTCAATGCAGGTACTTATACAAAAAGCGCTCTGATATCCAAAGTCGCAAAAGGTTTTTTATTTCGCCGATTTTCCTAAATATTATATTACTGTCAGATGCAAAAATCAGATTGGACCAATTTTGGCATTTTTACTTACACTTATTTTAATTTTTTCTACATAGTAAGTTTATCTACGAAGTTATCTATATTTCGATATAAATAATTTATCTTAGCTCATTTGTGCCACAGTGCGGCGACGAGCCGGATGAACTGACCTCGCGGGCCGTAGTTCGGTGACTCCTGGTCTATTGTAAGAAATTCAGGTATGCAATTTTTATCAAAATTTCAGACAAAAAATATAGTCTATAAGAATTATTTAGAGAGGGAAATCATTTTACTTCGATCCACGGTTCGAAACTAGCTTATAATGCGGGCCTTTCATCATTCGAATCCAAATCGCCACAAAATAGGATTTTCAGATCTCAAAAAAATCCTACAGCTCTCTGGAGACCCAGGTTCGAATCCATTTACAGGGCGAAAAACGTTTTTAAAAAAGACTTTTTTGCTTGACATGTTTGGGTCCGTTGACTCCGGCCCTGGTTCAGCTAAACCGCTTCGCTCCATTGTAGCTTTGCCACTCGTTAATTATAAAATCTTGAAATTTTGCACACTACCTAAGAAAACAATTTTCTTTCAAACGAGCTATTCGGTATTACTTCAGATGTTTGAGGAGCGGAGGAATCGATCCCCGACAATCGGCAACTCCATATCGGCAATCCCCGAAAATCGGCATTCCTGTATATAGACAGGTTTTAAGTCGACATCACGAGTGACTTCATGAGCATGCGCAATTGTCCGGTGCCATCTTTGTGGTTTGTTTACGTTTTATTTGTGTTTACGCGCGCTTTAGCTGGAGTTCTTATGTTGTTTATTTGTCGTGAATATCACTATAGTAAATTGAATAATTGGATATAATGCACTGAAGAACAAAGAAACGTCATTTTTTAAAATTCCCGGCATTATTTGTCATCAAGGACCCCAAACTGAGGAGCTTTCACGACGAAGGCAATTTTCTTGGCTCTCGAGAATTAACCAGAAAAATTTCAATACGAATAACGTGAATATCAATAAAAGAGTTTCTCAGAAACATTTCAAGTAAGCAATAACATTTGATTACTAGTTATTAATAAATGATTAAATAAACGTTTGAATAGATAATAATTGTGTTCTAACTTTGTTTTTCACCTTTCAGTTTGTCTTCTTAGTCTCTGCTTGTAATAAATATACAGTAGAGTTAATATTAAAGCGGTAAGCAAAGATAGTCGTTTAGCAGATGAAGAATTAGAAATGAATTTTGAACTAATTGTCTTTCCAGTCCTTCCATAAATAAAAATATGTGTATTTTTAAAGATATAAACCAATAATTTCCATTGTTCATTTACAAATAGCTAAGTTAGGTTATTTAGTGAGCAACATTAAATATTTCAGTGAATGGTTGTCTCTTTAATCCGAAAATATTTCTCTCGGTAGACTATCTTACAACAAGTCAGGTCCAGAAAAGAGCACTGAAGAGGAACTGGAAAATGAAACCAGTTCGAAATGCATATGAATTGAAAATACAATAAAAGAGTTTCTGGACCTGACTTGCTGTAAGATAGTCTACCGAAAGAAATATTTTCGGATTAAAGAGACAACCATTCACTGAACGAATATACAGCTACAATTAGTAAATTCAACATTAAATATTTCTTTAAGATGTTACTTTTTACAATAATTTTTTTACATTAGTAACAAATAATCATTATATAGTAACCTTCAAGTTGTTCCTGTGACAAATTCTTTATTATTTATGTATAACAGACCATAATGATAAGTTATTATTATTATTATAAACAAAATTCCAGGACCAAAATTTGTTCCAATCTGATGATGAGTACGAGTCTCCTTCTCTACACCTCGTCCATCATGGCGATCCCGTTGAGGTTAGGCCTGGTATCTTAGTGGCTGACATGTAGTTTAAACGAGCTGGTGTCTCGCTTGGTCAACTAATGTTGACCTGCGTGACGGGGCTCTTCGTTAACTTCTCCTGGTAGCTTGTGGAACGTATCAACCAACACAGCATCCGATAATGATTCTGAATTGACTATCACTCGATGCAGACTCAACTCAGTGTCAATCGAAGGCCATGCATGCTTTTTTCCAACACTTCACTATTGTAGTCGTCCACAATGTCCCATGCTTCTGTTGTTTGGAAAACAACATCATGCATGTTGATCTCTTTCCACGCCTTCACATAGCCTCGGTAGTGTCGTTTACATTTGTCCAATAGGGAAGTAAGAATTACATGTCGATAGTGACGCTTAATTAATTTTAAAATTCCCTGATTCATGGGTTAGATTAGTGCTGTCACATTTGGTGGAAGAAAGACATCTCTGAAATCATGTGATATACGAGCTGTCAAAAGGATGACCGGAAGAGTTATCAATTAGGAGGATGGCTTTTAACGGAAGTTTCTTTTTCTTCAGTTTTCCTTTACAGCTGGTACGAATTTATCATGGAATCACAGAGAGAATTTCTGAGTTCATCTACGGTTGCTTTTGAGCACCATATTCTACCGAAAGTGTACTCATCTCGCTATGCCACGATGTTTTCAGTGTGACGCGTTGTTTTTCTTGTTTATGCCTACGAGCTTCCTTTTTGTTCTTGGCAGAAAGGATTTTTGAAGGAAACATTTTGAAAAAGAAACCAGTCTCATCAGCATTGTACATTGCAGCTGGAGTTCGTCCTTTATTATGTTCTCCAGCTTGTATTGTAACCAAGTGTACTAAGTTTAAGGCAAGAGCCTTTTGTATATATTTGTTATTTTATTTTATTTATTGTTATAATTGTACAAGATATACAAGATAAATTGAATAAAGAAAAGTCTCCCTTGTTATACGGATAGTGGGACAAGGGTGATGCTGATCCCCATTGGGGAAATGATGATTACCAAAATGAAAAAAAAATGTTCTCCAGCTTGTTTTTAAACTCTTCTGTATCTTTTTTGTTTGTTGACCCTCTTTCCGCTGAGACTGTCAGCTACCGCACAGTATGTCCTTTCTTCCAGTTTGACAGCCAGATCTCGCTTGCTGTAAACAGTTTACTGCCGCCAAGTTCTTTGTTAAATGCTACTGTTTTTTATTTGATTATCGGGCCACTGACAGGTAGTCCATTACGTTCTGCTGTACGAACCATTTATAAACGGCCGCATCAAGTTTATCGTTGTCACCCTTTAGCATAACTTTTCGTTTTCCCAACTCACTGCCCATTTGGCAGTCATACTGTCGAGGTTAATTCTCTTTCATATTTATGTCATAAATACTGGTACGTCAGCATTGCACTCACAAGTCAGTAGCAATGAGTTTTTGAGAACATTCTTGCTGTAACCTCTTAATATTTCCAATTTTTGCGTGAGTTTTAACATAACAACTATGGCTTCAAGAAGAAAACATGAAGGTCATTTTGCCAAGTCGATCACTTTCCACACTTCTAAATCAAAACTGAAATCACACACACACGTTTGTGAAGTTTCAGTTTCAGTTTCGATAAGTTACATAACACTGGATGGCTATCTACGTGACGCACTCCATTTATATCATAGCCGGAGAGTGAATAATAGAGAGGCCAAATTAGAGTTTACTGCATTGCATTCAAAATGCTTAAATAGTTAAAATATGTAAATAAATATACAGATATGAAAAATAAACATACTTATTTTTTATTTTTATGAACTTTTTTATACCAATAAAAAACATTAAATTTACAGAAAACAATCTGATATTTTCCGATTACAGAGATGTATTATATGACGATTTGTATGCGCAATTGGCATGATAATCTCTAAATTTTTGGGTGTTAAAAAAATGTTCTCTAGTCGGTCAGGATACTTTTACACTATACAGAAAAGGATCTTTCAATATCAGAAGAGATCAGTGGGCAGAACTTCAAGTTTGCCATTACAGATAGTTCAATTTACCTGGAATTTCATCGTGTGTAATTTTACCATCAATTACTCTGATTTGCTTAATTATCTCTAGCTCTGGAGTTTTTACCGACAAGAATTTGTAGATATTCTGAAAGTTTCAATCCCTGGGTTTCCTTTGGTTAATTTTATTATCGAGACGATAATAAAATTAACCAAAGGATACAATAAAAAATGAAAACTGTCTTTTTTAACAGATGTCGATTCAAACATTTCTTGAGCTGTTGCAATGCAGCATGCATCTTTACTTGAAAACGTGTCGATCATCTAAAATAATTGAAAAATGTTAAATTTATCCCCGAAAAATTAAAAATTAGCAGGCTGATTAATACGAACCTGTTTCGCAGTTGAAAACTTCTTGCTAAAGAAGTCGCCTGCTTCTATCCAGGTCCCCAAAGAGTAATCTTTACTCCCTTATCCAATTATAAGTCGGGATTACACTCGGCACCTTCCTTAGGACTCTGATCGCGTTTAATTGGTGACAATGACACTCATTCTGATATTTTTCTAGTTTCGTTTTGCTTTCTAAACTGCGTCTTAACTTTTAAATTTTCTATATCTAAAATTTTGTTTTTCCCTCTACTCTTTATGAGCGTCGACGTCAAAGTTCGGTGTCGCCGATTTGACACTTATATAATTTATTATCTTGAGGTTTAACTTAACAAATTTTTACACATCCTTTTTTTGGGCTATTTCCGGGGCATCACACTAGGAGGACTATAATTTTAAGAAATTATTTTTTTTTACTCAAGGAAACATTACAAAACGTGTAATAGTTGCATGATTTGTCTTCTCATTTTAGGTGGTAGTTTACACTGTAAAAGGAAGCAAATTTGCTAAACAGTTTACCAGGCATGTTTGACAACAGCAAGTTTGCCATGTAACATCCTCATTTTGTTCGTGATTTCGTCCACGGCTGACCAAATATTAATATATGAGTCCATACAGATCAGTCCTGATGTCTAACATTACTTTATTAACCAATTATTTTGATATTTTTCCCACATTGTTAAGAATCATATCGTATTAAATGAGAAGAACTACTTTTAAAGTGGTGTCACCATTCTGTACAAAGGAGTAAGCATTACGAAGAAATTACTTAGAGTACTGCTATGAAAAGAAGAAAAAGAGGTTCATGAGATATTGAAACAGGATATACTTTATTCAGTGAATATTGACTACTAAAAACGCAAGATACATATCTGAGTTAAATTTCTTTTGTTTTCTTTTCTTCTTTTGTTCATTTGGTGCAGTCTTGCTGCATAAGTTGGTTAGAAGTTGTTTACATCTTTTATAGCGTTTTACATTTCCTTTGTGAATTTTTGTTGCAGCATGCTGTTTTAGCTGAAGAATAGCTGAGTTCACTTTACCTTTTTGTGGCATGGCCGACATAAAAAAAAAGTACATGGGAAAATTGTTTTCTAACTCTTACTGCTCTGTGGCATTAAGAGAGCCTCCCCTTTTTTATTAAGACCATTATGTGTTCGGCCGGGCCCTCAATGGAGTGGCCGAGTGATGAGAGACGCGCTTCCACAAAAAATTCCTGACATTTTCGACCCGTCCGAGCCCACCAGAGCGGTAGGTTGTCACCTTAACCTAGCCTTTCCCATCTACAGTAAGCACTTTAACAGAAACGATCATAATTTAGATTAAACTGATGCTGCTTCTTTTGGCATTATTTAGCTGAATCACACAGTTTAAAAACTTATTTTAAAAAATCGAAATCGAAAAAAAATCGAAGAGAAATGTAAGATAAGAATACAAGGTGAAGTGTGGAAGTGTGATGTCTGCAGATACTGTTATCAAGGTGTGTTACGCTCTCTCTCCTTTAGTTAAATGTTCCACAGATATTCGCATCGTGTGAAAATCCCAATCGTCGTAACTGAAAAAATTCATTATAAAATAAAACTACCCCTATTCAGTTCAGCAAGCAACAAGGACTTAAAATATTAAAGTTAAATTTTTCTCTATATAAACAAAAACATTTTACATATAAATCGACACCCTAGTAATCAGCAAGACAAAATCATTGCCTTGCTGATTTCTAATTTTTCAATTCAAAAGGAATAAAGCCTGAAATCATATTGAATGTAATGTACAGTACTGTACCTCAACGCTAAAAAAGCGGAAATGAAAAAATAATAATAGACTTTAGACACAAAATGCTGTTATTTTAAATTTATTTTTAAGTAAAAAAAATCCAAAAAATCTTGCGAAAATTTTCAGAAAAATCAGTAGAGTGCCAGTCAGTTATTTGAACGCAAAATTCTAACACAANATTAAATTACTTTAAAAAATTATATCATTTGCTTTAGAGATATTTTGTATATCTTAAAAATAATTAATTTTATTCCAGGATTTCCCGGGATCCCGGGAAACAGTTCACTTTTTTCCCGAAATCCCAGGACAAGCAAAAGACCGGGAAATGAGAAACTCTACAAGCAATAATTAATACAAATTTTGTAGATTGTAGTTAATAGCTTGTAACTCCTAATTTTGAAGTAACAGGGCCCAGCAAGGACTTTCCGAGGGAAACCGATTTTAAGAAGACCAACCACCAATGTTCAATAGTAATTTTATCCACTCGGCAGCTGGTAAATAAGCTAGAGGACATAAACAATTTTTTTACGCCCCATATGTCCCATGAATTTTGTACGTAAACTGTTTTGAAAATTCAAAAAAAATCCTTTGTATAAGCTAATTTATTTTCCCCTTCGGCTTCTCATGTATATAACACGGGATTATGTCAAATTTGACATTCCGGGTTTCTTCAAATCTCCACGTTTTGAGACGTCCTGAACATAAAAAGTCAAAAATTCGGAAAAATTCGTGAATGTGTGTTTGTGTGTTGGTATCTATTTCGTTTGATATTTGTGTAGACTCGTAGAGTAATGATTAAGAAATGAAATTTAACATGGTAGCTTGTGTATAAGGGGCGTTGATATTATTCGATTTTGGTGGTTAAAGGTAGAGAGGTTGGGGAGACAGAGGGGGTCTTGTGTCATATGCCGAGCAGTTGCACGTTATATCTTCATGGGGCCTAAATGAATGTGAATTAGAAAACCCCATGTACAGCGTTAACTTCCGACATTTTTTTCTGGGAGAAATTTTTGGGGAAAATATTTTGTTATAAAAGATTGTTTTGGAGCCCTGCTGGTGGGTATCTCAGATAATTGTCCATTTTGCCCATAGGATAACGTGCCATAGATCTCGAATAGAGATTCACTCGTTATTAGCATTTGCATATCTTTTATATAAGCCTCTACCTTCAAAATTAAGCTTTATGACATTTTATAATAATTAATAATATAAAAGTTATTTTAAACAAAGTCTCTTAACAGATGGCGCCACAGACAATTGAAATTTTGTAAGTTGTCTTAATATTTTCACAGAGTTGCGCAACTCGTTGTTGGATTTTTTATCAAATAGGAAAATAATTATAAGAAAACTTACCCATGTATGCAGTGAAAACTAGAAAAATTCCGAAAATTCCGCTCTCTGGTAATTTCCCTCCNACAAAACAATATTTTTAAGATAAAAAAATTAAAGGAAAATTCTTTAGAATTATTCAACTTTACACTTTTTTGTTAAAAATTATAAATATGTCACCCCTGTATTATAAGTATAAAAATTACAATGTGAAACAAAATATTTTAATGTAAATATGAATCAAGGCATCAGTTAAATGTGAATCAAAACATTTATTAAAAAAAAATATTTTGTCAAACAGTTTGTTTATAAATGTCTACAATGAAATTCTGGTTTGTATTTGAGCACAATTAATGAATCCTAACTTTTCGCCTTTAATATTTGAATTTTCTTCCAATTAACTGACTTCATCGTCAAAATGGCGAACTAAAGGGACGAGTGATAAATGAAGCGTAACCTTTCGAAATTCTCTAACAAAAGTAAAGAAGAAGGAAATAAAAGACATGGCCAGAATCCATTCGCATAAAGCAATAATTAATATCTCTGTAAAGCCCTGAAATAATTAAATAGAATTTATTAATTGATAAATTTGTATAACAAAATAAATTTCTTACCTTATCTGATGGCACTTTATCAGCTTTTGGCATTATTTTATTCCAATATTTTCGGGCGAATGGAATTACAATAAACGCTTTAAAATTTTAAAGTCAATTTCAGTCGTTGTGTGTTATATTATAAAAATTAATTGAATAATTAAACTTACGTGTTAATAGCGAGAGAATACATAAAGTGCATATGACCAAACGAATTCGGAAGATCAAAATTCCATTGTAAGTAGGATACATCCAAAATGTGAGTATAGTCTGCAGAATACCATAGAAAAGGCCCCCAAAAAATAGTAACAGTGCTCCTGTTAAATGAGCACTGATTATGCCATACATCTGTAAATAATTCGTCTTCTAATTACAAAACTTCTATTAAAGAACAAAGAGTAATATTATTATTTTACTTACAGGATAACAGCCTACAATTATCATTCCGCACAAAGATAAATAACCGAGAAATAAAGATATTTTGTTTAAAATGTCTATTTTTCGAATACTTCCTTCATTTAATTCGGATACGACTAAATAACGAATCGTCATAACTGCCATTCCTGTTAAGAATAAATCAAAATTATTGAAAGTGATATATGTAATGAGATACATTTCTTAAAACTTTTTCTACTCTATGTGCACTAAGAGGACGTTCTTTTTCAAGCTCATCGTAGTTTCATCCAAGACTGCATACAATAGCGTTTCCGGATGGTAAGATGCGGTCCCATATAGACGAGACAGATCCTTTCTTGAAAAATTCCTGGGGTTATCGACCTCCGGATCTCTCTGACAGTAAGATAATCCCTTAACCGCCTCGGTATTTCGGGTAGCAAATTAATACTTTAGCTCTCTCAGGTTCCGACTGTTTCATTTTTATAATTGATTTAAATTTTCTATTATGATTATTTTATATTTAAGTATCTTAATCTGTGACCATTTAAATATTATATTATATAGTTCAAAGTTTGTTTCCAAGAATATGATTTTAATTTTTATATTGAACACGCGAGAAATTACAGTTTGATTTACGACGGTTCGCGATTAGGGATTGCAATTGCTGGATCCCTCATCCAGCAATCCAGCTGGATCCAGCGTATTCTTCGGCCTGCTGGATCCAGCATCAGGTGCTGGATCCAGCGCTGCGGATCCGCAAATACTCAATTAACTTTCTAGATAATGGCGCAAAAGTCTACGTTTTTCGCGTTGCCGCGTTTTTCTACGTGTGCTATCGTTAGGCGGCGAGGTCGACGTTGCCGTTCAGTGTGGCACATGCTAAACCACCTCTCTACACCGCACTGCCTGCCCTTTTACCTCTGCTGATCTAATTGCCAGTTGACTTTTCACTCTCGCTAAATAAAGTGTCTTCGCGCTAAATAAAATAAGTAACTCCTTTCCTAGTCCTGGTGCATAATTCTAATTTACGGTCGGTTGTAACGTCAATGAATCATGTGACGGAACGATCTCAGTTTAAGCCTATGGAGAGTTGCAGCCTCGCTGCTTGTCCACGAAACCTAACCTATAAACTGGCCGTAAAAGATCTCTGCAGAAGAGAGTCGAGTTTGATAACTGTTGACACAACCCTGAAATTTATCTTAGACAAACTAAAAAGCCAGGACACAAACCAGGACGCAAAAGAATCAGAGAACGGCGTCTTATTGAGGTCACAGGGATGCTGATTTACGTACAGAACCCGAAAAACTATAACCAAAAAGTTAGAAAGCACGATTATTCTTTCACAATACCGAAAAAAATGTAATGCGCCAGGAGATGAAAAATATGCTGAATCGAGTAAATACATATGTAGTGGAACCAGCAGCAATGACAGAGGAGATTATGGAAACGGAAAACGATGATCCAGATAACCCGCATTCATTCCCTGAATTTAACATTGGAATAAGAATCGGAGATCCAACTACAGCGTGAGAAAGAAAACTTCATGAAACGAAAAGAAACTAGTACTGAGAAGGATTATGATAAGTTATTAAAAAAGGAAATGACTGTTTATGAACGTGAGGGAGTCAAAGGTAAAAACTTATCTTTAATTTATGATTATTTGATGACCCTGAAACCAACTAGCATAGAGACAGAAAAAGCCTTCTCCGCAGCGGGATATCTATGCAGTTCATTAAGAAGTAGGTTGGGAGACAACACCATCAATACTATTTTTTTTCTTGAGACCCAACTTCCAGAAAAGTAAAATAATAATAATAATAATAATAATAATAATAATAATAATAATAACAACAACAGAACTGATTGATTTAATTTTATTTAATCCTTTAAAATAGTTTATTTTCAAGACAAGACTAATATTTTATAACTTCTATTCTAATTCTATTAAGTAAGAGTTTTAAACTTTTATTCTATAAGTGGTTAGTGGGCTAGGCTAGGCAATTTTATTGTTAAAATTAGTGAGAAACTGAGACTATCTAGTTAGTTAAATAGTTAATTAAATTAATGAGTATCAGTATCTTAGATATATGATGATATGAATGTATATCATTCATGATTGTGATAATAATAACTAACTACTAGACTACTACTAATTAATTACTCACTACTTTACTAACACTAATAATTAAATTACTTATAAATAACTACAGACTGATATGTAGAGCCTATATAAGAAAACTGGTAAGACTGATAGCCACTTAGCCACTGATTATCCGTCTTTACATTATTATAATATAATATATTCATATAAATTAATTAGTAGAATTACCTCTACTATTATTTAACTTAAAGATTACATTATAATTATAATCTAATCAAACATTTAAAGTTAATTATCTCTATCTCAAGTTTACTACCTAAGTTAAGTTTACAACCTAATTAAGTTTACTACCTAAATGTGTAAGAAGTTTTACTGATTTAATGTATAGTGACCAGTCTAAATAATAAAAGTTTCTTAAGTATTTTAAAAAATGTTTTATTTCTTTAAAAAAAACAATAAATTACTGGATAGATAGATAGATAGATACCCTTTATTGCATTTATTGATATATAGAAACACTTTATTGCACCAAAAATACATCTGCGCTGGATCCAGCTGGAATGATATTGATCCAGCAAAAATCCAGCTGGATTGCAATTCCTATTCGCGACGTTTTCCAGAAACCAATTACATCGTAAAACCTACTGTCTACTGAATTTGTTGCGTGTGAATAGAAAAAACTACTAAAAGCTATTCACACTTTATTTCTCTAAAACTTTTGTAATGTAAAGAAAAATAAATATTACAGATATTTTGTTTAACCATTAAGGTGTCTGTCTATCGCAGGGGTGGCCAAAACGTGGCGCATGCGCCAAACATGGCGCATTGGACGATTACAAGTGGCGCTTCAGTTAGTTCTGAGCAAAATTGCCAGATTTGGCTTTTTTGCGATTAAGAATATTATATAGAAAAATAAATTTTTTTTAGTCTGTCTTGGCAAGTTCATTTGTTGCACAATTCGTAACAGTCTATTTTGCAGATAAAATGAGTGTTCTCCACATAGTAAAATACAGTGTATGCACGTATTTTGAGTCTTGCGATCTTTATTTTCGATCAGTTTACAGGCGTGTAAATGGCCGAAAACATTTGTTGTGAGTAAAGTTATTCCAAGCTGATCTCGTTCTCAGTGCCAATAATTGTGGTGCAGAGTAATCTTCACCAAACGAGACTCTGGCAGCTATAGCACCATCATCAAGCAATCACTCTCTCGTACAGGAGATCATTATTGACTATTGTAAATTGGTACTTCAATAAACTGTCACAAATTAATTAATTCAACAGCGTGATTAAGTTATTCCCTTTTCTCCCCTAAGCGAAGCAGATTTATTCTTATCTCTATTTATCAACTCCTAACATTGAACATAAGACTGTATAAAAAGTGTTCGAGTTATATGGCGCATCTGAACTCGTCTGTCAAAAAATTGGCGTATGGTATGCAAAAGGTTGGCCACCCCTGTTCTATCGCTTTGGGCATCCTGGAATCGAATCCAATCGGTCGATAAAACCCCAAGAATATTTTGGGGGTTGGTCTGTCTCATATGTTGGGTCTGACCATCATCCCACAACGGGCTAGAAAAAAGGCTCTCTTTGTGCCAACAGGGTAGGGGAAGCTTGATTAACATTTTCTTACCATTATAATGAACCTAAAAGATTGTAATTTTCAATGTATTAGAAATAGATTAATTAACCAAATTTATGAATAAAAAATTGAATTCTTATTAATCAAAAGTCAAAAGATAAAAACTTAACAATATAAGTCGATTGATGACAATTTGGAGTATTAAACCATGAAACGTAATTTCCACGAAAATATTGATACTTTCAATGAAGAACTTTTTAACTTAGCACTGTACTCAGCATATACGTTATAGTCTTTGTATCTGAATACAGCACAATGAAGAAAGTATATACGAAAACCATGGATTGGATTAATGGTTTAAGGCAACGAAACACTTTTATGGGGAGTAAGGACTTTTATGGGAAACTGGTCCGTTTAAATTGTTAAACACGTGAAGAAATCACGGAAAACTCTACACGGCTAGTCCGTTGGTGAGGCGCGAACCCGAGACTAACTACTATTGTTCTGGTTTTATCCACTCGGCAATTGTGGGCTCCGAGGAACATAACATAGTAGAATGTTCTCTTTGTATCGATGGTTTTAGCTAGGGTTATACAGTATTGTTATTTTTAAAATTGTTTGTTTGCCATTAATAATATCAGTTTTATAGATTACGCAAAAAAACCAAAAACAAAAAAATTTACGACTTTTGTAACAGAACGAAATAAAATACTTTCAGATGTTATGATCAGATGTCAGATGTTTCAGATACTGTTCAGATGTTACATAAATATTCCTGTTTAATTTGTAACGTTTCAATGTTTCCATCAAACCAAAGAAAAAGTTTTGTTTGAAAGAAAAACGCAATGAAACACGAGCAATGTATCAGAACTAACACTATTTAGCTGATAGATACGAAAAGAAAATCTTGAATACTCCATGAGGCCAATTCATCGATCAGGTGCGACACTTGGATAAATTATATTAGTTACCAGTGTTCAGTACTGGTACTCACGCCTAACCCCAAGTGCGATGGGGCGACGAAGTAGGAAAGTGGATGACATAAATTGGAAAACCAAAGCATTAAGCAAAGAAAAATGGAAAAAATTAGAGGAAATCTTCATCCAGCAGTGGATTGACAATAGTTAATAATGATGATGATGATACATGCACACAAATTCTTTTATATATTTTTAATTTAAAAATTTGAAAATAAATTTGTAACACTTAAAATTAAAAAAAGTAACATTTATGTATTAAGATTCTTATTATATATCCATCACAATTTTGATATATTTTATGCACTCATATTTATAGTAATAACTAGCAGATGAGCCCGGCGTTGCTCGGGCAAAAAATAACAATAAACATTAAGATTAATATAATATAAGGGTTAGAAATACGAAAAAAATCTATTATAGTATTTGATTTATATAACTATGAACGTTACCTCTAAGTAACTGTTATATTCACAGACGAATAGCAAATGGTCAACTGACAACGAATCAAATTTCACGAAAAACGGACCAAATGTTTAAACTCGGCACTATCAAAAACTACTGAAATCATATTTTGTGCAGGCCGGTAACCTCGTACTTTGGATTTTCCTATTGCAATGCCACCATACCGTTGGTCCGATAGCTTTAAAGCTATCGGACCAACCTGTGGGTCGCGAAGCTTTACACGGGGGTCGCGGGTAGAAGAAAAAGACAAGTGTTTGTAGGTCCTACACTATATTAAAAAAAAACTGCAATTTCAGCAAGAATTACGAAAATAATAGCGGAAAAAGTGTTGAGCTGATTTGCAAAAGGAAATAAAAAGTAGAAAAGTAGAAACAGAAACTTCAGACCCTAAAAAAAGGTCAACAATTCCCTGTGCCTAATGCTATTATTAAAGGAAGTTTCATACTTTATGTGTGTTAAATTATTGTCGATACTTCTGAAATTTTCATTTTAATCAACAATAATTTGTCTCAACAGAAAGAAAATTAAATACTGTACATAGTTTTTAAAATCACTGATATAGTTTTAATATGGCCCTAGGGGGTCGCCAAAACTTTTTAACTTGTAAAGGGGTCTCGTATTCAAGAAGGTTGAAAAACACTGCTTTAAAGGACCGTTTTGAAAGGGGGTTGAACTAATTCGAGCAAAAGTAGTCGTTGACCTGGAAGAGAGAATGGTCAACCACTCCTGGAAGAGAGAATGGTCAACCACACTAATTAATAGTAGTCTACTATTAATATTATTAATATTTGAAAAGTGATCCGTGTTAGACAGGTTGTGATGGCTCCGCACGTGTACGAGTTACTAACCATAATGTTAAATAAAAAAAATCTTGAAAAATTGAGAATAATTGCTTTTATGTTATACCTACGCAAAAACACCTTATCTCACTGAGAATTATTTATTAACCGTAACGAATGTTTTCACCTTTAACCATTGTTTTTTATCTATTTTATTATTTTGTCTTTTTTTTAATTGTATTTATATTACTGTAATTTATTCAAATAGCTCAACATTCCAGATAATTTTGTATTTTAAATGTGTTCTTAACTGTTTTATACAAAAAAGAACAGTTATCAATATTCCATAAGCTTAAAAAAATCCTGTTCAACTTGTTCTACAGGCCATCTTCAGCAGGATCTCATGGGAGTACCTAGTTTATCATTGAAGATCGAGCAAATAAACAATTTGTTCATCACAAGTGAATTTACTTATCTTTAGTGTTAACAATATTTTCACAAGTGCGTGATCAAAATTTGTTGACCACCACAATATTAGTATAAAAAATGCTTGAAAACATTTAAATATCCTATACACTTTATATGTTGTTTTAAATGAAAATACAAATTTTAAAAAACTGATTTCTGATAGATTCGTATTCTTTATGTGACTTAAATTCCCAAATTAACAATACCCATGATAATTATTTTATAGACAATGTTTTAAATTTATACTATATTAATTAAACATTAATTAAAATGAATATAATTTACTGTATTTTTGTCCATTTAAGATCATTTTATTTTTAAAAATTTTTCGAAGAACTTTTTAGGAGATAAGAGATGAATTAGGTTTGGATTGATAAGAGAACGCAATGCAAACACGAGAGATCTGCCAAGGAAAGAGGCTTCTGTTTATATGTAGGACACGCTACTTGGAAAACTCCACCTGTCCAGCGTGTTAGTGAGGCCCTAACACACGACTAACTACCACTGTTCAATGGTTTAATCCACTCAGCAACTGGGGACTAGGCAATTTATATACGGTCTTTATGACCATACATGAAATATGCTTAAAAAATTTTTTTAATCAAAATTCTAGTATAAACTAATTTATCTTTATCAAATAGAAAATATTTTAAAAACTTACCAAAACATGCAGTAAAAACGAGAAAAATTCCAAAAATTCCGCTTTCTGGTAATTTTCCTCCAGTTTCACTTTTAAAAAATGGGAGAGATTGATTCATCATTTTGTAATGATAATCTATCTTAAAAGCAAAATGTAATTTTTAAACAACTATCTTTAGCGAAGTAATTTATATCAAGATTTTTATAAATATAATAAATGATCCGAATACAGTCGAACCTCCCATAACGACCACCTCGAAATAGCGAACAGTTTTTTTTTAGAAATATTTGTTTTTTACATGTATACAAAATAACCTGCAAAAAAGGTCAATATCTATGTTCCCATCAGTGACCATTGTTCAGAATTTAACTAAATTTCATTTACAAAAATTAATTTTACATATAATATATACAAATTTAAAATCAAAATTTTCTGAAAGTTTAAAAAAATAAATTTTCTTAATTTAATTTAATTATATAAAATTTCTTTACGATTAATAGTAATTTATTATAAACCTCGCTTATTATCATTGATTAGAGAAATTTTAAGCATAATTAATTCCAATCTTTAAAAATATTACATTGAAATAATAATAATAATAATAAATACCTGATGAAGGGGACATAAGCACTCACATGACCTTCTGAAAGCGCCATTATGAAACAAATAATCATACCGCAAGAAATCCAAACTCCCATAACGAGAGGTAACAAATAGAGCTTCTTTAATATATGGGGTTCCATTTACAGCGATTTGATTTCTTACAATTTCAATTTTAAAATGGCTCTAACTCGAGATAAATACAAAATCAAATCAAGGTTCTCTTGATTTTACATATAAAGATAATATTTTTGATAAAATAATCATAAGGCAATTAACAAACTCACTCACTCACTCTCACAGATTCTAATTTACGTTGTTGATTCTAACCTCACCAGCATCATTTTAAAAAAGCAACTTTACAAGTACTCGTTTACATCATTTAGACATTATTTTGTTAATATAAACTTTAAAACCACTGACGCTCCTTATCATTTTTCAGTTTAAAGTCAAACTGATATGACGTTCCTTGCCACGTGCTCACAGTAATTTGTTTGTAGCGACGCATGTGGGCGTTATTATCATAAGTAGAACAATAAAATGTTTAAAATTATTTCTATTATGATTTAAAAATTAATAAAATATTGATATAATGTTTAAAAAGTCATATTAGAAACAAGATAAAACAAAAAATTCTTATTCATATCTGTTATTTTTTAATTCGTACTTGATATTGATAAAGTTTATAACTCTTGTTAATCCTGATAAGTTTCTCAATAAGTTCGTTGCATAGTAAAGCTGCTTTAATACAGCTAGATAACCAAACCAGTATGTCATGCTAGATATACGAAGCAAAACCAATCAAAATGGATGACATAGTCAGTTTCGAATGAAATAGGCTTGGTTTATACTTATTGTATTTAATTATTGTATTATCTATACTGTACTTATTGTTTACTGAGAAGCAAAATCAAAGTAATTTTGAAAAGAGCTGGTATAACATTATAAATTTTTTTGAATTTTACAAATCGAGAGCTTAATATAAATTTTGAATAGGAGAGTAATAATTTAATATTCGAGAAATGAATTTGCTGAATAATCTACAGGTGCATTCGTTTTGTCAGAATACTTTGCGTCGTTTCACACTTCTTCAGTACAGAAAATAAAGGAATAATACAGTATCAGAGTGACGTATGAGTAAACATTATTCTGATTAAATGAATGTGCCTTAAATGCCATTCACTAGTTAATTCGTTACTTCAATTAGTAGTTTCAGTAAAGACTTTTTCTCCATTTTTCTTTTGTTATGATATTTAAACTTAAATTTGAACAATAAATGTATTTTATTAAGCATCAATTAATAATTTATAATTAAATACAGGCATACTTTATTCAATAAAAAGCTTATTAAAATCACTTTAATATTTAATATCATTTCAGGAGTTTAAATTTTATGTGAGGTACAAGTAATGAAATTCAAATACTATAATATATTTGAATAAAAATTTTTATATCATTAATTGTTTGACTACAGGTTTTGGTTTGATTTAGCGGAATACAGCAACTTAACACACGTGCAATCTGCCAAAAGGAGTACCTCTTCGGAGGATTTTTATAGTAAACTGACCCCTGTTTAGGCGTTACAAATGTAAAGAAAATTCAGCAAACGTAATCGGTCTATTGATGAGTCTATTATATGGAGAACCCGCGGTCAAATCCGGGTTTTCCAGGTAATAGCTCAGGAAGTTCGAGGCGGTTTCGGGAAGTTTTCGCGAGTGATCTGTCCTGGTTATATCGGGCCACGCTCCTCTACCTGACCGTCCCGTAATGAGCCTGGCAAAACCGCTGACAAGTTTGAAAGTCAGTACCAAAATGTATTACTTATATAAATTAAAATATTGTTAAAATACTAAAAAGTATAATAAATTAAACTTAAAAACTTTTTAAAAAGGCTACAGTGGATGGTTGCACCGCAATCTTATTCAATTAAAATACTGCATATATACAGTATTTAGTAAGATTGTGAAACAACCGACCGACTATATAAGATTTTAATAATATATATATAGAGAGAGAAGAGAGTGAATATTCATTTGGAGAAAAATGGGCTTTGGTGTCTTATTGCATGTTCATACAAAGACATAAATTATATCACAATCATATTTAGCTTGAAAAATTCTTATATATTATCTTTTATCGCATCTTATCGCAAAAGTTTGTCTTATTTTAATTTATAAAAATATTATTTTTCTATTTTTCTTAAATTAGCTGTAAGAAATTTATAAAAATTTGATGTAGAAATTGATGTAGAAATTTTATGTAGAAATTGGATTTAGAAACAAATTTCTACATCCAATTTTTTATTGTACTAATAGTAAAAATAGCTTAATAATTAGTGAAGATCCAAGGTTATTAGTATTTTTTTTTTTTGTTGAAATAATTATAATTTCGTTATTCTTACAGGATGGTTTTGTTCTGATCAAAGTAATTTTAAAATTTCTACATTTCTACAATTTTTACAAATTTCTACATCCAATTTTCATTTGAATCTGGACATTAATTTTAAAATTACTTTGATCAAAATACAGTAGAACCTCGATTATCCGCCCCCGATCAACCGACCCCTCGGTTAACCGACCGTCCTAGTCGGCAAATTTCAAATGTCCGCTAGTGATGTGGCGCTACAATATTTGGCTATGTCTTGGCTACTTTAATATTATTTTTACGTGTTTTAGCTGGCAACACTCATTCGACCATGAAAGGGAGCCAGTATTTAAACGAAGCTTAATTTTCTAATTTTTAACGATACAATAGCGACGATTATTATTTTAAAAAATTTTTGTTAGGCTTAACATCGATGAAAATTCAACGCAAAATAGGTTAATAGCGATATACTAATATACTAATATACTAATTACATGGGATATAATAATATACTACACTAATAATGGATTTTTTCATACTTTTCGGTTATCCGACTTTTCAATTATCCGACCAACCCCAGTCCCCAATTAGGGCGGATAATCGAGGTTCTACTGTAAAACCATTCTGTAAGAATAACGAAATTACTGTATAATTATTTCAACAACAAAAATTACTAATAACCTTGGATCTTCACTAATTATTAAGTTATTTTTACTATTAGTACAATAAAAACTTCTACTTGGGCCGAAGCCAATGCATTTGAGGTAAGTGAACAATAGTAAATGGCCACACGAAGTCATTAATCAGTCAAATGCCAGCTTTGAACAAAACAGCATAGTTGATTCTTGATTATCTTGAATAGATCACTAAAACAATCCAGATTAATAGAATGCTTGTGTGTATGAACGATGAATAGTTCATAATTATTACAACATATCACCAACAAGTGCAATCTAACGACACAAACTTACCTTATATTTAACTTGTTTTAGACCTATATGATAAAACGTTTCATGAATGTTTCTTTGCATAAAATTTCTTATTTTGAATTTTTCTTTTCTAAAGTCACATTAATATGATTTAATGTAAAAAATTTAGCCAATACTGATAACGTCACAGATAAAGTATAAAATAGAACAGAACAGAGTGGAACAGAATACTGTACGATCATTTTTTAAGTCTTATAAAGACCTAAAAAATGCAACTTTATCAAAATTTTAGGCAAAAAATAATATAATATATACTGTATACTGTATATTATATAATTATTTATAAAATAAAACTATTTGTAATTTTTACTGTTTAATTAATTAATTGGAAAATTAATTATAAATAAATATTTCAGTTCTTCGTTCATTACTTGCATCGGGTACTCGATAGCTGGGCGATGGTCAACTGGCGATAGTCAAGTAAGTGACGGTTATTCGGTCGACAGAAATTTAAAAATTCTTGACCATTTAGAAAACATACGATTTGAAAGATTCTTTAAAAAAATTAATAATAATAATAATAATGGTAAAATAAATATAAATATGAATTATGAGTCATCCAAATTTATAGATTTTTATAAATGGGCTGTGAAAGGTTTAAAAACTACTGTATATGATGTTAATTATGAAAGACCAGTAGCAGGTTTCCAACATCAGCATAAACCTAGACGTTATGATACGATGAAGCCGATCAAAGGATTTTGAGAAAACTTTTAAATTACGATAGGGAAAATATAATAGAATATTTATAACACATGTATAATATGAATTAATAAATTTAAAATAAAAATTTTGTTTTGATTTTCATATACTTTTTTGTTTTAAGTAGGTTCAATTTCCTATAGTATGCCTCTCGTGAGGACATACTATGAGAAATTGAACCTTATTTAGGTGTTAGACACGTGACGAAAACCCGGAAAACTTCACGTCATCAGGCGCATATCTACGACCACTAGTGTTTATCCACAGGTTTTTGTGTTTAACTTTAGATCATTGCTAAAATAGATATTAAAAATTTTCAGTGTCGAAGTATTGAGTGAAGACATTTTATAATATTACTGTACTTGTATAATTACAGCCATGTCCATGACTTTCAACTGTTAAATTTCCTTTGCCTGTTTTATTTTTCAAATGCATCAGGACGTTCATACTTTGTTGCTACAATTATAAAGCGTTTCTATTTGCTATACGGAAACTACACCAGTGTAATACGTCCTATTAATAAACAAAGTCCAAAGTAGATAAGGATAAAACAGAAATCAATTTCTAACACTTAATTTACTGAGGACAGCTCTCATTTCTAACAAGGACATTTATAACGTAAATAAATACCATAAACAGTGTAAATATGATTTTTGTTTACAATATGCGCGAATTACTCAACAAACAAATTATTATTACTTAATTTTTTATCATTTATATTTATTATTTATACAACCACTTATAAATCATTTTTCAATAGGCTTAACCAGATGAAAAATTACGAATGGAAGATAAAAAGACATGAAAGATGTATTTGAATATACAGTTTTTTGCATTAAAAAATACTTTCATAGTAACGTTGGACATTAATTTAACAGAAATTCTTAAACTTGTTAATATGTAGAGGGGGACATTTATTAAAGACTAAATGAAGAACATGTCTCTCTGTTCGGATAACAAATTGGCCGCACTATCTTCAAATTGATGAGCGCATCTGTGAGTGACGACATGGAAGAAGAAATATCTCACATAATATAAACATATAAACTGCATGTATATATAGTTATAATATATATGTATATATTATGTAACATATAGTATTATAAATACAAACTAAACTGCTTCTCTGATTGTAAAATTGGAGAAAGATATGTTCTCAATAGAAGGGTCCGGATTCGTGACACACTCACGTTTAATTATATCTATGGAGAGATGTTTAATCAAGAACAAGAATAGGACAGTATATCAATCAAGACATTTTTAATGATTAATGTTTGTTTTAAAATAAATAGTAACCATTTAAATATTATGCGACGAAAATGTTTCCTTTAATCTTTTATTAAGTTCAGCATACGAAATTCTGTTTATTAAAAAAATGAAATTCTAAAATTTTGATATTTCATT